ATCTCTCTCTCAAAAAAGAAAAAATAATAATTTCATACAATTCTCCTGCCTAAAATGCTTCAACAATTCCTTAGTGCAATTCAGAATGAAACTTGAATTCTTTGCCATGGCCAGTAGGCCCTCAGTCCCCATACCCCTAGCTGTTCTGACCTCATCTCCTACCCTGCCTCACCTCCTTCACCCGGCTTAGGCCACACCAGCAGCTTTCTCCTGTCCCTCCAGAATGCCATACCCTTTCTGCTTCAGGGCTTCTGCAGGTGCTGCTTCCTCTGCACTAACAGCTCATTTCCAGATGCTTCCATGGCTGCCTCTGCTCATTGCTCAGAGCTCAGCACAAATGTCACCTCCTGGGAGACTTCTTTGTCCACCTTCTCCAAACCCACTCAGCCTCTATCTGGTTTGCAGACTTGTTTTCTTCTGAGCACTTACCCTTATCTGAAACCATCCTCCTATTTGATTACATGCCTTCCCTCTATGTGGGCAATGACTCTGTCTTACTCACTGCCGCAGCCCCAGCACCATGAAGAGGACCAATGCAGCACAGCATTCCATAATATTTGTTGGCTGAGTGAAGACAGAAGCACGTGTATAAAGTCCAGGGGAAAGCACAGAGGAGGGAGAAATGAACTTGGGGTAATGTGAGTTGTTTCCAAGCGGTGATGTGGAAGTCAGGCTCTCGAAGAAGGAAAGTGTGCAGGTGGGTAAGAGGCAAGCATTCCAGACAGAGGGAACGCTCCAGCATAGGGAGACGGAAGCAAGGTGTGGGTGTGCCTTAGAAGCTGGTGTGGACCCTGTGACTCTGGAAATCCACTGATGGGGCTCAGCAAGGAAAAGATGTAACCAGACAGTGCTTTCTAGAGTAACCATTTCTGGCAGCACTACAGAGGAGGACAGGAGGTGTTGAGAGGCAAGAAAAGGATTTAGAAGACAATTATACTCAAATCTCCGATCTCAGCTGCTCGGTGCGTAATACAGACTCACAACTGAATGAACACAGGCTAACTCCTTTTTATTTTATTTCTTTTAAGTTTATGTATTTATTTGGAGAGAGTGTGAGAGCGAGCATGAGGAGGGGAGGGGCAGAGAGAGGGAGAGAGAATCCCAAGCAGGCTCTGCACTGTCAGCGCAGAGCCCGGCGTGGGGCTCAAACTCACGAACCGTGAGGTCATGACTTGAGCCGAGGTCAAGAGTCTGATGCTCAACCAAAGGAGCCACTCAGGCGCCCCCAGACTAACTCTTTAATGAAGTAACTGATGTGAAATCCTTTCTTGGCCTGCACAGGGTTGGGGTGGAATGGGGCTGGGAGAGACAAGGGAGAGGGGGAGGAGAGAATGGGTGGGTGATGGTGGAGGTTCATATCCATGGGATTTCTACCACAGATACAGCTCTTTATCCAGCTCAAGAGCCAGAATAACCAAGGCAAGCACAGCAGTGAATAAGGAATTAAATACTTTCTACTCTTACTTTTCAAAGAAAGTTTTCTGAGGTGATTGCAGACCCACACGAGTGGAAATATAGCAAAAGTTAGTACTTAATATAAAGACCTGATTTAAAATTCACCTCCATCCTGCCACACCCCGGCTGGCTGGGGGCTTACTGCCACGAGACACAGGGCAATGCTTCCGGGGCATCTGTGAGTTGAGAAGTGGAAAATGAGGCTACATCAGGGAAAAGGGCTGACCCCAGCAGGAGACTCGGAGGCAGAGCAGGTCTGTCAATAGAGGCTGTACAGTTGTTGGAATCAAAGCAGGCAACAAGGGGTGAGGACACCTTTCAAGGAGAAAGTCAAAGAGGAGGGAGAGAGGAGAGAGGTCTTTCTGATGCTCAGGATAAATGACCAAAGCACAGAGGTAAAGTTAGGGGAAAGCACAAAACTCTGTATTTCTTTACAAAGAGTTACAATAGCAATAAAACATCGTTCAGAAATACACTTTGGAAATGAATCTAGTAAGAAATAGAAGTCTTTATAAAGAAAACTATGAAATTCTAGAAAAATATATGAAAGAAAACTTGAAAACCTGAAGAAAGACTATGTTTCCGGGTGGAAAGACTGTTGTAAAGACAGCCGTTGTGTCCAAGGTTATGTCCATGTTTGACACGTTTTTTAGTACAGTCTTAACTTTTCCACTCAATGCATAGTTCAGAAATTGATTTTTTTTTTTTTAATTCTCAAACAACACTTCCCGATAAGTGTCCTGTCATGATCTCCACAGAAAAGGTTACCCTGTAGAAGAGTTAGCCCAGAGCAGCTCCAGGCTGTGCCTGACCTCCCAGGAGCCAAGGGGATCAATCCACACCTGTAACCTATTTCCTGGTGCACACCAGCTGGGAAACTTTGTTCTGGGGTTGACATCGGCAACATCAGCGGTTCTCCGGGCTGCCCATTAGAGTTACCCGGGGAGCTTTCGAAACACACTCAATGCCTAATTCCTCCCCCTGGCCCCCACTTGATTATACCAGAATCTCTCCAGGTAGAATCCAGGCATTATTGTTCTTAAAGTTTCCCTTTAAGAATATGCTTCGAAGTCTGAGAGCCACTGTGCTCTGTACTTTGTATACCTTAACATGCACTTGAATCACATGGAGATCCTGTCAAAATGCAGATTCTGGTTCATTCATTCATTCTTGGGGGAGACCTGAGATGCTGTTCTAATGAGATCCCAGGTGATGTCAATGGTGCTAGCCCACAGACCACTGTTTGAGTAGCAAAGATTTAGAGCAGCAGATCTCAAACTTTGGTGGTATTAGGATCACCAAGAAAATTAATTAAAAATAGTGGCCAAGGCTCACTGAAGTTGAATATGGCCAGGGCCAAATTATGGGAGCAGCCTAAGGGTCCAACGATTGATGAAGGATAAAGAAGATATGGGGTGTGTGTGTGTGTGTGTGTGTGTGTATTTCTGCCATAAATATTATTCAGCCATAAAAAAGAGTGAAATCTTGCCATTTGCAACAACATGGATGGAGCTAGAGTGTATTATGCTAAGCGAAATAAGTCAAAAAAGACAAATACCATATGATTTCACTCAAACAAAACAAAGGAAGGAAAAAAAGACACAACTACAGAGAACAAACTGATGGTTACTAAGGGGAGGTTGGTGGGGGGCTGGGTGAAATAGGTGATGGGGATTAAGGAGTGCAAGTGTTGTGATGAGCACTGGGTGTTGTGTAATTGCTTAGTCACTATATTGTACACCCGAAACTAATATAATACTAGATGTGAACTATACACTAGGTCTGGAAATTAAAACTTATGATGCCAAAACAATCATTGTTGGGCCCTGGCTCTGAAAAGGAAAAAAAAAAAAAAAAAAAAAAAGAGGGAGAGAGAGGCCTGGGTTCACTGAAGTTGAATACTGGCTAGGCCCCTATTTTTATAAACTTCCCCAAGGTGATTTTCATACACACCAAAGTTTGAGAACCAATGAACAGAGTATTAAAGAAGACTGAAAAAAGAAATCCACAAGAAACACTTAGATGTCAACTGTTAGAAAATATATCAGTAATAACCCAATACAGGTCAGAGAAACAAAACAGAGAAACCAATAAACAAGCATGCAGCAATGGATGTGTGGTGGGGACAGGAGATATATGGACTTAGTACTTAAAAGAAATTTTCCAAAAGAAGTAGAAAAATAATTCGTTTTAGAGAGGATACATTTTTAAAACAGCTACGGGAGAATGAAAAGCTACTTTCCTCCCAGCTGACCTCGGCAGCACTGGAAGAACGGACATTTAATATGAGAGGAGGACAGGGGAAGGGGAAAAGGTGCTTCAGAGAGTGGAATGTTTCGAGAAGGTTTCTGTAAAGGAGCCACAGGGGAGACTAAGGCACTGAAGTGAAAGACAAAAACTACCCAAAAGGCCATAGAAGGCTAATTAAGATAAACTTCACGTATTTGAAGTTTTTGCCTGAGGCCATCCCTGAACTTTTCAAAAGAAGAAAAAACTATCTTGGTATTCACTTCTGATACTGAAGGCTCCCCGGGCCTAAGACAAGGCACTGACATATGAAATATTTGGAATATAGGTCAGTTACAGTATGGATTTAATGGCTTCCGTAGGCCTGTACCCTGAATAGAACCACTATTTATTTCATCATTTCTCTGCAACAAAAGCAGTGAAAACACACTGTAATCGGTCATCTAAAGTCCCTTGAAAGGAGGTGGCAAAGGCCCTACATTCAAATCCTACAATTTTAGGGGTCTTACTTCGGATCAGGTCATGATCTCACAGCTCCTGGGTTCAAGCCCCCCCTCCCCCAAGTGGAGCTCCCAGCTGTCAGCACAGAGCCCACTTCGCTGGGTCCCCTTCGCTCGCTGCCCCTCCCCCACGCATGCGCGCGCGCGCGCGCGCGCGCGCTCTCTCTCTCAAAAATAAACAAACATTAAAAAAAAGTCCTACAATTTTAGCTTGATTTTTAACTCTTTTTTTTGGCCGTCAAAATGAAGGAAAGATAAAATATCAGAAGAGGTGCAAACATAAAAAGAAAACTCATAGTTCTAATTTTAAAAACAAACCTTTAAGAATGCAAACGAAATTAAACCATGAATGGGGCCCAAAAGATCAAGATCTGTAATCATTCCTTCTCCCTTGTCTCAGACAGAAAATGCTAACGATCAGCTGATCAGCTGGTATCATTTATTCCCCTGGGGCCTTGGCTCCCCGCTACACTGCTACACGCTACACTGCTACACTCCTCGGGGGCAGGTGAGAACGCCGCCACTCCCAGCACAATACTCTCCGGGAGGGTGAGGGTGGGGGTGGGTGGGCCTGGCAGGGCCTGTCTTCCTGTTGTGGGGGTGATGTCAGGCCTGCCTGCGTGAGGGCAGGTGTGGGGAAGTCAGTCAAGGTCTAGTTTAGGGATGATGTAAAATGGCGGCAGGGCAGGCAATTCGGGAATTATCAGCCTGGAAGCCCAATCGGATGGGAATCTAATGTTTAAAAAGGTATTCTGAAGCTATTTCATGCTCATCCATCCCAGCTTTAACGTCTCCAAACACCTCTACATCAGGTATGCATGACTAACATATACATTTCTCAAAATAATAATGATAATAATAGAAACGTAAATCTGGGTTACATTTCTTTATAACAAGGTTCCCCAAAGATTAAAATTATAACTAACAAGTTAGCCCTCCTCTAGCTAGTTGACTGAGATCTCAAAGCTACAGCCACTGCCATCTGCCCTTTTGAGCAGCCCAGGAATTTCTAAGAAGGAAGGGGAAGCAGTCAATCTAACTCCAAATGCTCCCTAACGCCCACTTGTTTAAAAAAAAAAAAAGAGGCGGGGAATGAGGGGCGCCTGGGTGGCTCAGGTGGTTAAGCATCTGACTTGGGCTCAAGTCATGATCTCAGGGTTTGTAGGTTTGACAGCCCTGATTCTGTGGTGACAGCCCAGAGGCTGGAACCTGCTTCGGTTTCTGTGTTTCCCTCTCTCTCTGCACCTTCCCTGCTTGTGGTCTCTCTCCCTCTCAAAAATAAATAAACGTAAAAAAACAAAATAAAAAGGGGCGGGATGGGCAAGTGATACCTTTCCTCCCAGTCCTTTGTCTGCAACTGACGTTGGCAAAATCATAACTTTCCCCACTCCCTGTGATTGTAAGACCTTGGGGAAATAAAAAATGGCTTCTTGTCACAGGAATATTAGGAACCCATGCTATAAACAGAACCATTCAGAAGAAAGAGGCCACCCTGGCCTACAAAACACTTTGCAAATAAAGAGTTAACACACCTGTCCTAGACATCTGGGCCTAAGGCACTTGGACACAAGGGCCGGTGGGCCACACCAACAGGAAGTGCTGGGTAACTGGTCACTCATGGGGGAGCGGAGGGGAACCTGGGGCCCTGGGAAATCAGAAAGCAATCAGCTCCCCACCCGCTCACACAAAACATGAAACCCAGATGAAGCAAGAAACTCTCCCATGTTGACGTTGGTGCCTTTGCCCCGCAAGATGACTTTCTAACAGCCAACCACCACAGCGAGTCCCCTTAACCTATCCTTCTAAAAGGTTCCAAGTAACCTGGACTAACACCTCTGTCACCCAATCACCATTGGTAAAAATCAACAGTGCCTTGTTAGACACTATAAAATGTCTCAGAGCTCTGGGCTCCTGAGCAACGGGGAAGCCTGCCCTGACCACGAGGTCTATCTACACTGGCACCCCCATGACCACGCACTCTGTGGACCTGTTAAATTTCTTCGAGGCACCAATCGTTGCCTGTGGATCCCCCCCCCAGGATGCAAGTGCTGTGAGGGCCCGGAATGTGTCTGCCACTCACTCCTCCATGCCTAGTGGCTATAGCAGGGCTGGGCTGCTGCTAAGCCCTCCCGACCTACTGAAAACAGGACAGGAGAGAAGGGATGGAGTAGGGAAAAGGGAATCGTGTCTCCGTGTCAACTCTGGGCACATTTCCAATGTTCAAGTCAATACACGACACGCATGGAACCCTGGACATGAGCTGTTCCTGCATTCCAGGCTCGTACCTTCTCTCAACCCTAACAAGGAAGAATTCCTTCTATTAATGATCTCCACAGAATGCCGAAAGGTGGAGGAGAGGCAGTTCCCCTCACCGGGTCTCCACTCAAAAGTACATAATTTTTAATATTAGCTTACAAAAAAACCAAAAAACAAAAAAAAGGGTAATGGTAGGTATGTGCAGCATTTATTAGTTGTGTGATTGTGTCAAGGAGACAAAGAGGAGAGAGAGAGAAACTGATGAAAGCCGAAAGCCCACATCTGTGTTAAAGACTAAAACTTATTTTTAAACTTAATGACTAATGACTTCCACTTGATCCTCTTTCTTCTCAGCAGGATCCTTCTCTAGACCACATATATTTATTTTTAATCTCTCTTGGGAAAGAAGAAACAGAAAATAATAGGATTATATGGGTTTAACAGAAAGGAAGATTACCTCCTGAGGAAATACAGGATTCCCCGCTCCCCCCCTCCCCCCCAACTTATTTACCGGTCTGATCCAAATCTCAGATCACAGTCAGAATTCATGAGGTTACCTCAGACAGTGGGTAATAGATGTATTCTGCTCCACATCGACAGAGAGGTCAAGAAAATCTTCGTCTTTGCTACTAACCTGAAGCAAAATAAGAAAAAAAAAAAGTATTAGGTACAAAATACATAATAGACATAGATAAAATTTTGAATGCTCCTAGGCAACCAAACCCCACGACTGCAGAAACAGCCACGTACGGTTTTGGACACTCGCTGGCAACCAGCTACGCTGAAGACGACCTGGAGAAAATCGCAAATTCTCAATTTACCCACGGTCCCATTCCAGCCTTGATCTAGAACTCTTAGCAGTGAACACTCAACCAGATGTCTCTTCCTCTCTATTCATTTTCCCCATCATTTCAAAGTAGGAAGTTATCAAATAAACACCCACATGGCCAAGACCGGCACAATGATAAAAACGGAAATGGAGAAAGGACAAGAGACTTTGAAAACCCCCAGCTCAGAGGGTCACCTCTTCATGAGGCTAACTGCCAATCCCTTGAAATCACTCGCTCCTGCGCCTCGTCATCCAAACTGTGTCTGGGGCCAGGGAGCCTAGTGTGAGCCGGGCTGGACAGTCACACTAACGGCACGTGCACCTGTCTCTCAGCTTGGGAAGTGGCCATCATTTGCAGAGCCCTGTGTTGTCTGTGGTAACAGCTGGGCCCAGAGCTGGCCAGGGGCCCTGGCTCACACGGGCCCCGTGCTGTGGCCTGCTCTCGGGGGCTGGCTCCCTGGCCCAGCTGTTTGTCAGCCCCTACGGTTCACACCACACCAATCCTGGCTCTCGTACCTATCCAAGCTCACCGAGTAAGTGCTTGCACTTGCCAGAAGTTCACTGGCAGCCTGGCGTTTTACTCTCTGGCAGTGGGAGGAGCAAACTAGCTCAGCAACAACCTTGAAGTGTTCTGCCAATTGGCAACCAAATGAGAAAACACTCCTTTAAGTGTGACATTTACCCTATGACCCAACACTCTACCGCTAGGCCATTCTCTACAGAAATATTCAGAGGGTGGGCACAATCTTTTATATTTCCATTAGTATACACAAGGAAGGGTACTGAGGCAGGATATGAACTTTCCAGTTCCATATCCTGTCTCTGCCACCATGCAGTGGACGACTTAAGGCCACTTAGCCTCGGTGTAGCTCAGTTTCCTCATCTGTAAAGTGGGGACAGTAAGAACATCAATTTCATAGGGCTGTCATAAGGATAAAACAACACACATAAAGTGCTTTCAGAAGTAAAAGTCGGGGCACCTGAGTGGCTTAGTCGGTTAAGTGTCCAACTCTTGATTTCGGCTCAGGTCATGATCTCACGGTTCAGGAGTTCAAGCCCCATGTCAGGCTCTACACTGACAGCACGGAACCTGTTTGGGAGTCTGTCTCCCTCTCTATCTCTGCCCCTCCCGTGCTTGTGCTCCTTCTCTCTCAAAATAAATAAATAAACTTACAAAAAAAAACAAAAAAAGGAAACAGTCACTAAGTCGGAGAGGGGTACAGAAACTATAAATGGCCTAACATGGTCTAAGAGCTGGCAAAGGTTTACTGCATGGTGCGTACCACGTTAAATGAATAAGTAGGCTATACTACCATCTATAGGCTAATTCCAATTTTGTATAAAAAAGGCACATATACATCTACACACATATACATGCCCTTCTACATATACACACACTATGTCATTCTGCCCTTTTTTTTTTTTTTTTTTTTTAATGGCACTTGTTACTGCTATGGTAGGATGCATAAAAAGCCCCAGATCTTCACCACTGCCTATACTGGCTTCTTCGCCATGACTTTACAGATCCTCCCATCAAGAGACAAGCTTCCCTATCCTTGATTCTGAGTTCAGCCATCTGAATGCTTTGGCCAGTGGGATATTAGAGGACACGTTATGAGCAGAAGCTTGAACAAGGACTTATGAAATCGCTCACTTCGTTTCTGTCATCGCCATAAGAAAGATAAGCCCAGGGTAGCCCACCATCCCCAGGAAGAAGATGAGAGACTGACCCATGGAAGAGAGCTGTTCTCACTAAGGTGCCCCAGACAAGACCAGGCTAGAACAAAACGTGTAGCTAGCCTGTAGACATACAAGTGAGTCAGCTGAAACAGAAACACCCGAGTTCAGCCAGGTCCAGCCTAGATCAGGTGACCCTCAGCCAACCCACAGTTGAATGAATTACAATGAACAAGAGTTGATTTAAGTCTCAGTTTTGGGGTGGTTTGTAACAAAGCAATAGATAACTGATACAACTGTTTCATCACAGTATAAATGTTTTATTTGTATTTTTTTTTAATTGTCTGACTCCCTCACTAAAATGAAAGTTCAAGACTGGCTCTAGTAATGACTAAAATCTTATGATTTCAACACTCCTCCAGAAAACTATATAAAGCTCAGAGAACTGTAAATAAAAGAAGCTACCTGAAAGTGTTAAGAGAATAAACACAGGGAAGTCTGTACCCGAAGGAGGACAGTTGTATACAATAGCCTTATGGTTTCACAGCCTTTATCTGGGAAACAAATGCAGTCTGTTTGGTTTTGGAACCAGAAAACTGAATCTGGGAAGCCATGTCTACTGGCAAGAAGGGAATGAGTCTGGGAAGGTATCCCCGACTCTGTCTGTCCTCATCTCTGCCTGACTCCTGAGCACATTATGCACAGGATACACTCTCAGCAACTCGGCTACAGACAAAAGGGCTGACCCAAGATTCAAGTGGCTGTCGTTGGATCGGTAGTTGGAGTCCAACCAAGAAAAACTGCCTGCTGAAGTTCAAGAAACACGATAATCACTGAAGAAAAAATAATAGAACCCAAGGACTCTCAAATTTTACATCCTTAGTGTCCTAGATATCACTCAAACTTACAATGTGTGTGAAGAACCAGGAAAATGGGAGACATTCTTAAGACAACTAACACTGATCCTTAGATGACGCAGATGTTAAAATTAGCAGACAAGAATTTTTTTTTAGCAGATAAGAATTTTTAAGAAGCTCTTCTAACTATCCTCAGTAAAGTCAAATATACTCACAATGAATGAAAAAAACCAAGACATCTCAGCAGAGAAATAAGAAAAAAAGGAATCAAATGGAAATTCCAGAACTGAAAAATTAATACGCGAGATGGACCTAACAACGAACCGGAGATGACAGAAGAAAGAAAAAGTGGATTTGAAGACAAATCAATGAAAATTACCCAATGAGAAGAATAAAGAAAAAGAAGATTGGAATAAAAAATTAACAGATACTCAGAGAACTGTTAGAAAATATCATACACATAACTGGAGTCCCAGAAGGAAGGAGAGAGAATAGGGCAGAAAAGCCATTTAAAAAATAATGGCTAAATATTTCCTGATTGGGTAAAAGATATACATTTATAGATTCAAGATGCTCAACAAAGACCATGTAGGATAAATACAGAGAAGGCCAGCCAAGGCACATCACAGTCAAACCATTACAAGCCAAAGGTAAAAAGCAAATTTTAAAAACATCTACAGAAAGATGACACATTACAAAAGAATGATTCAATTGGAAGCTGCTCTCTCATCAGATATTACGGAGGCCAGAGACAGTGGAACAACATCTTCAACGTGCTAAAAGAAAAAACTGTCAACACAGAACTCTTAGAGTCCAAAACAGATCCTTCCAGAATGAAGGTAAAATAAAGAGAATTCATTATTTACAGACCTGCACTGCAACAAAGGCTAAAGGAAGTTCTTCAGGCCGAAGGGAGATGATACCAGATGGAAATCCAGAGCCTCAAGACAGAGTGAAGAGCATCAATAATAATTTTGGGGGCGCCTGGGAGGCTCATTCAGTTAAGCGTCCGACCTCAGCTCAGGTCGTGACCTCGCAGTTCATGAGTTCAAGCCCCACGTCGGGCTCTCTGCTCTCAGCGCAGAGCCCGCTTCAGATTTTCTGTCTCCCTCTCTCTGTCCCTTGCCCGCTCCCTCTCTCTCTCAAAAACAAACATTAAAAAAAATACAGTAATTTTGACATTGCCCTGTGGGGTTTATAATGTGTATAAATGTAAAACATATAACAACTACAGCATAAGGACAAGGTATGGTGGGGGTAGGCGGAAGGAATATGCCTGTACAGTAACAAGCTATGTTTTATGTGCACAGTGACATTATTAATCGCAAGTGGACTGTGAAAAGTAAAGATTATATATTGTAATCTCTAGAGAAACAACCAAACCACAATACACACACAAGTGCACACTAAGAGGAAGATTAAAATGGAATTGTTCATATAAGCATATATGAACATATGAGTATATGTACATATACTCAACATATACATGTATTAAAATACTTTTTTTTTTCTTTAAAGCAGAGGAGGAACAGAAGAATAAAAAACTGAGGGGAGATAAATGGAAAACAAATAATAAAATGGGAGCCCCAAACTCAACCACACCAATAATTACATTAAACATCAGTGGTGGCCTGGGGCTTGCAACAGAGATTAATTGCTGGGTACACAAGGGATCTTACTAGTGTGACAGAAATGCTTTAAAACCAGATTATGATGATTGCTGCACAACTCACCAAATTACTTAAAAAAAATTTTTTTTAATGTTTATTTATTTTTGACAGAGACAGAGCATGAGTGGGGGAGGGGCAGAGAGACAGGGAGACACAGAATCTGAAACAGGCTCCAGGCTCTGAGCTGTCAGCACAGAGCCTGACGAGGCTCTTGAACTCACGTACCGCGAGATCATGACCTGAGCCAAAGTCGGATGCTCAACCGACTGAGCCACCCAGGCACCGCAACTCACCAAATTACTTTAAAAATTACTGAATGGATGAACTTTACGGCACACAAGTTATACCTCAATAAAGTTTTTTAAAAAGTAAAAGACTTATGAAGCAAAAGCTGACAGAATTAGAGGAAGAAATAAAATAACCCCATAATCATAGATATTTTAAACCCCTTTTCTCAGCAGCTGATAGAAAGGTTAGGCAGGAAAATCAAGAAAATCATAGAAAATGTGAAGAACTCTGTTATGTGAATAATGTATCCAATAACTGCAATATCTATATTCTGTTCAACCCAGTAGTTCTCAGCAAGGGAAACTTTTCCTTC